GTTTCGGTGACTTAATGTTGCCCACAAGCAGCAGAGGCTTCTGGAATGGAATCGAGTTGCTAAATTGTCTACCCCACCCTTGATCCCCATGGCATCTGTCTCCACAGGCTCCTTATAAAGCCACCCCCTTTCCCAGTTCCACTTAAAATATATTCAGTTTCTATTTAAAGGTATTTTCAAACATTTTGGGATGTTCTGGGGTAAAATGTAATCATGATAACGAAAGTCTGTTCAGTGTGGCACAGGGTATGCATTCTACAACCACTAGCCTCTGAGTGGCAGTGAGAGGAGGGAAGGACAGAGGAGAGGACGAAGGCGGAGTGAGGCCAAAGATGGAGCCAGCTGCTGTGGAAGGAGGGGTTGCTTCCTGCCCCTTTCCACTGACTTCTCAGGCTGAAGGTGTCTTTAAAAATATTCTATCTATCTATCTATCTATCTATCTATCTATCTATCTATCTATCATCTATCTATCTCAAATCAATATATATTATTGATTTCAAAGAGGAAGGTAGAGGAAGAAAGAGCTAGACACATCAATGATGAGCAAGAATCATTGATTGGCTGTCTCCTGCAGGCCCCACTAGACACATCAATGATGAGAAAGAATCATTGATTGGCTGTCTCCTGCAGGCCCCCTACCAGGGATCGAGCCTACAACCTGGGCATGTGCCCTGACTTGGAGTTGAACCGTGACCTTCTGGTTCATAGGTTGACATTCAACCACTGAGTCACGCTGGCTGGGATTAAGGTGCGTTTCTTACATTTAATGCCTATGTGAAGGCCAACTTTCTCTTTTTCTTGGGGAGGACATTTAATGTCAAAAAACATTTCTTTTAGAGTGGTAACTGCGTTAAAAATGTAATTTTAAAAAATTATTATAAAATTAATTAAAATGCAACTACACATCTATTAGAATGGTCAAAAATCCAGAACACCAACACCAGATGCTGGGAAGGATGTGGAGCAGGAACTTTCATTCATTGCTGATGGGAATGTGAAAAGGTACAGCCATTTTGGAAGACGGCTTGGCAGTTTCTTATAAAGCTAAACACAGTCTTAGCATACAACCCAGCAGTTGTGCTCCTTGCATTTACCCAAAGGAGATGAAAAGTTATGTCTCAAAAAAAATCTGCACATGGATATTTAAAAGCTTTGTTCATAATTGCCAAAATTTGGAAGCAACCAAGATATCCCTGAGTAGGTGAGTGGATAAACAAAAGGTGGTACATCCAGACAATGGTCTATTATTCAGCCCTAAAACATGATGAGCTATCAAGTCACAAAAAGACATGGAGGAAACTTAAACTTAAAAAAAAAAACTAAGTAAAGAAGTCAATCTGAAAGCTACATACTGTTTAATTCCAACTATATGACAATCTGGACTATGGAGACAGTAAAAAGATCAGTGGTTGCCAGAGGTTGGAGGGAGGAAGAGGTGACTAGTTGGAGCACAGAGAGGTTTTAGGGGAGTGAACCTATTCTGTATGATACTGCAATGATGGATACGTGTCATTAAACATTTGCTCAAACCCATAGCATGCACAACACCAAGAGTGACCCTAATGTGACCTTTGGACTTTGGGTAATAATGATGTGTCAATATTGGTTCGTCAATTGTAACAAATGCACTGCTCTGGTGAGGGTGTTGATAATGGCAGAGGTAGGGGGTATGTGGAAATTGTATTTTCTGCTCAACTTTGTGTGGCCCTGAAACCATATTTCAAGGCCACAGAACTCAGGCGTGCAAAACTGAAATTTCGTTTTTTTTCTAAAAATGAACTGAGTCTTCTTGAGTCTCCATAGCAGACACTTGATGGCTCCATGCATCCCCAAGGCATCCTTGTATCAGTGCAGGCTAATCCTATGGCTTCTGAACGCACCGCTTTCCCTGGGGTTTTCTCTGTCCACTCCTGATGGATAGGGCAGGCTGGAGGTGCGTCAGGATGGTAAGAAGCTAGGAAAACTCCTGGGCAAGTGGACTAGGGAAACTGAGACAAGAAAATGAAAGAAGGCCAAACAATTTGAAAAACGTACAGCCAGTATGTGGATTGCAAGACCGTTTCTGACCAAGGACACTTGAGAGCAAACGGTTTATACTTCTCCTCCCTAACCAGAGAATACATAGCTTAAATCACCCTGCCATTTGTGCCAGCCAAACCCAATGACAGATGAAGTCAGGGTAACAAAGAACAAAAACCCCATTAAAGCCAAACACACCCAAGATAAAAGTAAAACAGTAAAGCACACTAAAGAATAATCCTACACCCCCCCCGCATTACCCTCATTTCGAGGTATCAACATATTAAAAACATACCTGGAAAACTAATGAATATTTTGCTGAAACCCTCCCCTAAGATTCTTACTTGCAGAAGAGAGATAAAAACCGTCAAGAGAAAGACCTGGCGTGTCTAGTTTTGACATAGGCCCTGGGGGTCCTAAATGAGTGAACCAGATCCCTGACATCCAAGAACTTGCTTCGCTCTTGGAGGAGGAGGGGATTCCACTGAGCCCTGAAAGATGGCCCTGGCCTGGGAGAGAAGAGGGAGTACCAGTTCAAGATGGGAACACTGTCTCTTAGAGACTGGGTTTCCTGACACTCCACTCTGGCCCTGGCTTGCTCATTCATTCACTCAGGAAACATGTGCGGAGCATCTACTAGTACTTATTATTAGAGTAATTTTTTAATTTTCTTGGCATCATTCTTAAAGGGGTATCCCTGATGGGTAGATATTTCAGCATGACAAGTGTATTTCTCACTCTCTGAGGAATTCAGACAGAGGTGGAGCAAAGAGGTGGAGCAGGTTCAATGCTTTGGAATCTGTCTTTTCTAACTGATAACTCTCTGACTTCCCCAGTTTCTCTATAGTGCTCTGTTGACTTCAGACCAGAACTGAATCCACATCTAATTTGCTGGAGTCAGAGCACCGAGGGCTTGAAAGCCCCCAGGGAAGTGAGGAAGGGTCCTTGGCAGTAGGGGTTCCCACTCCCCATGCAAACCTCAGGAATAGGGTTGCCGGATAGAGTTGCAATGTTATTCCGAAACATTGTTCATTGTTTATCTGAAATTTAAATTTCACCGACCATCCTCTATTTTAATTTGTAAGTCTGGCAGCCCCACCTGGGCACAGCTCTGGCCTGAGAAAGACCAGGAGAGTCAATCTCTCAGGTTTTCAAGAGCTTGTTCTTCTACAAATCTTCTCCTCACCCTGCTGGGCCCTGCTGTTGACTCTCCACAACTAGCCCTCATGGTGGGGTGGGGTGTTGGTGGCCCAATGTGAGAGTCTTAGACTGGGGACCAGCAGAGCTGGGTTCTAGACCAGGTTCTGCCACCAAAAGGTTCAGTGACCTTGCCCAGGACAGCGTGCTTCTCTGGGCCTGATTTCCTTATTTAGGAAATGAGAGAACTGGGGGTTGGTTCTATAGGTCATTCAAATTTCACACATGGCCGAAACTGGTTTGGCTCAGTGGATAGAGCGTCGGCCTGTGGACTGAAAGGTCCCAGGTTCGATTCTGGTTAAGGGCATGTACCTGGGTTGCAGGCACATCCCCAGTGGGAGATGTGCAGGAGGCAGCTGGTCGATGTTTCTCTCTCATCGAAATTTCTAACTCTCTATCTCTCTCCCTTCCTCTCTGTAAAGTATCAATAAAATATATTTTAAAAAAAAATTTCACACATGGATGTAGCTTCAGAGTGCAACCGGGACAGGAGCATTTGGTCCCTTGCCCACTCTGGACCTAGTCAGGCCGTGTGTGTGTGTGTGTGTGTGTGTGTGTGTGTGTGTGTGTGTGTGCGCACACACACTGAGGGATGGATGAGAGACCCAGAACTGCCCTAGATGTTGCAGGAAATGGCTTGGTAAGTGCTAACTGCCATGGCTTTTGATTTTGTAGAAATGACTCCTGTACTGACAATGACGGGCGGATGAGGAGCAGTTAGAGGCCCTGCCCCATTTCTCTCTCACTTGGCCACTCTTGGAATGACCCTGTCCCTAGGCCTTCTCACTCCCTGGAGAAAACAAAAGTTTTTTGTTTTGTTCCTGGAATACAGCAGGCTGACCAAAGGGAACAAAAGACACAGTGGCAGACTATTGAGTTGACAGGGCCCAGTTCCTGCCCGAGCAGCGGGGTCTCAGGTCGCCAGGGTCAGAATCTGTCCTGATTGAGAAGGTGGACAAACCAGTGTTTGAACCAGTGTTTTAACGAGGACATTCTCGTTAACACTCCAGGTTCTCAGGAAGGAAGATAATCAGGGGAGCATCAGCTTCACCAGCCATTGCCCAGAAGCAGGATTATCATTCAGAGAAGACTTCTCATGAAGAAAGAAGGGTGGATGCCAGTAGCCTCCTGGAGGTCTGCATGACAGCCTCCCCTGGTTGTGTCTTCACCTGGGGACCTTTGAAGTGGTTTACATGGGGACTCGTGATTTACTAGTTAAGAGCATGCGTTTTAGACTCAGACAGATCTGGGTTCCTGTCCCACCTCTGACCCTCAACAGCAGCATGAACTGGAGCAAATTATTCAGGCTCTCTGAGCCTTAGTTTCTTCACCTATAAAATGGGACTAGTCATGCTTCATACCTCAGAGGGTAGCTGAAGGGTTAAATGAGTTAATGTGTGTGCCTGCCTGCTAGTGGTGACTGTGTTGATTCTGGTCCCTAAATCTCAGTGTTACCATAAAATAGAAGCCCACACCCTCTGTTTTACTAGAATGTTGTTCCAAGGTGGGACATGCCAACTGCTAAATAATGCAGCCAGCCTGTGATTTTTACAAGAGTTGTTATGGTAACCATATTTTTAAAATGCCACTAACACTTGGCAAAGAAAATGAGATTAGGACTAAGTGACAATGAAAAGTGATGGGATGGCCGAAACCGGTTTGGCTCAGTGGATAGAGCATCGGCCTGTGGACTGAAGGGTCCCAGGTTCGATTCCGGTCAGGGGCATGTACCTGGGTTGCGGGCACATCCCCAGTGGGAGATGTGCAGGAGGCAGCTGATCGATGTCTCTCTCTCATTGATGTTTCTAACTCTCTATCTCTCTCCCTTCCTCTCTGTAAAAAATCAATAAAATATATATATATATATAAAAGAAAAGTGATGGGATGACATAAATAAACCTAGAAAGAAAGGAGAAGAAGGAACTAAGAATACGAAGCAGGTAGGGAAACATACTAAGTCAGGGCAGGGTGATTTTAAGTGTCCAAGTCAGGGGTGGAATCTGTCCCAGGTCTGGACAGAATGAAGGGTGTGAACTTGGAATGGGCATTGTTACACGGTCCTGGCTGTAGCCCTTACCCAGGCTGCCTGAGCGATTCTGTTCTTTGTTGGCACCTCCTGGAAGGAGAGGAGGAGCCATTTCCCTCCTCGGAGGCCTGGCTTGGACTTTTTAATCCTGTGGTCTTTCTCCCTTTTGCTTCCATCCCACCTGCCTGCCCTCCACTGACAGGGTGGGAGACATGCCTTCCTGTCCTTTCTTCATAAGCTAACAGTAATTCCTGACACCAGGAGTGGGAGAAAGTCAGAGCTGTGGTCTCACTGGTAGCTGGGTGGCTGGAATAGTATTGTGGGAGCCATGATGCCATGTCCACTGCCAAGTGAACACCTTGTGATGGACTTAAGAGAAACCCCCCTGTCAGGAGGCTAAGAGAGTCCATGTCTGGCTGTGATAGAGCTGAAGCTACCATGGTTGCAGGAGACATGAAGGGTGTGGCATGAGAGGTGTAGGCCGTTTGTCTTATCTTACACCCGCTTTATTCTCTGTCCTTTTCTGCCCTGCTCTGTGCCTGGCAGCTGATCCTATGGATGGCATTTTGGGGATCACATGCCAGTTGGATTCTGATTGGGTTTGACCAACGGAAGGCACCCGAGACTAGAAGGCAGCAGGAGGGAGAGGTCAGGGCATCTACCCTGCCTCTGCTTCGACAGTGGCACCCTCTGTTCGGGAATGCCCCCTCCACAGTAGCTCTAGCTCTTACCAGGCTCCCATGTCACCATTTCCTTCCCTTGCTGTCCAGTCCTAAGGGTGGTAAAGCTGCCCTCTGCTGCTGGTGTCTGGGAGCCCAGTTACCTGTTGTTGGTTCCGTTAGCCCCACCCACACCTCCATAAATAGCCCCTTCATGAGTCTTCTCTTCTGAACCAGCTGAGTTGAATTATTCCCTAGTAAGACCTTGATTGGCACATGGAGAAAGAGTAAAGGCACCAAGGATACTAGTTTAGGGGGGGTTGCTTTTCTGAGGCAGCAGGGCTTCAAGTTAGAGGGGGAAGGAGATATAGGGGGCAGGACCCAGGGATCGAGCCCAATAGTAAAGCTGGGTCACATGGGTCTAAATTACAGGTCACTGTTTTACTGGTCTGTGCTGGTGCTGAAACCCGGAAAACATCCTTCTGGTGAAGGAAGGGGGCAGGGGTCTTTGGGGCAGTGGAGATACTCACCTTGGGGGCAAGGTTGCATCTTTACTCTGGGGAATCCTTCTGCCTCTAGCAGGGTTCAATCCAATGGGGAGGGGAGCCTAGAACTAGGTATGAGACCAGAATCAGACAATAGGCTAAGAGTCATGAGAGAGAGCATGTTCTGCCAGAGAAATGGGAGTAGGTAATGTGGATGAAGGCAAGGAGGTCCAAGGCTCCTCTCATGGTCTTTGAGGAGCCTAAGAAAGAATGAGACCAGTTGCAGGCAGAAATGGACACAAATAGCTGGTGATAAACTCATAATGGCAGAATCGTAGCTCATGAGTTATGCAGTGTTGGGTTGCTCTTTAGTGCTGGAAAGGGAAGGGAAGAATTATTAAGATAAAGGCACTTGAAAGCAATGTCTCTGGCACAGGAAGGGCCATTGAAGAATATGTTTAGGAAGTGAGTTGTAGCTTGTTATCTGTAGCAGAGTAATTCTGTTTTAATATATGGGGGTTATAGTACATGGGTAATAATATATATTCTATTACTTGGGTAGAGTCATTCAGGGGCCAGCCTCCCAGCCTAGTGTCAGGAGAGTTTATCTTCAGTCCTTCCTTGTGTATCCACCTGGCAGTAGCCAGGGCATCATTGTCCCCATGCCCACCTCTGCTCCCTTGGCTGCTGGTGACTCAGGAATAGCTGGGCACTGTACTTTCCCCATGAGCTGGATGTTGCTGCCTCTCCTCAGGCGTTAGCACAAGGCTGAAGGAGTGGTGGGGGAGCACATTTCCCTTTTTGGTCCTGTTCCCTTATTCCTTTCAACACCTCCACAATAGAGTGCAAGGGGACGTAGTGGGTGTAAATTTTTAGTAAAAAGAAAGTCAAGTAAAAAAAAAAGAAAGAAAGTCAAGTGTGTAAAAGTCTTATTTTATTTCTCTATAACTAAGATTAAATTAGCTCTTGATCCTTGATTTCCACATTTGGAGAAAACTGGGTTTTGCCAATTTTCATATATATATATATATA